GTGGGGAGGGCACTTTTAATGCTAATGAGCTGGTCAGAAATTCTCACTTGAATTAGTGGTCTGTACCCATAACGGGCCACAAGACAGATTCCAAAAATCACACAGCCGACACGCCCAGGAAAAATTTCCATCTCAAACTGGACATTCCCACTTAAATAAACTAAACAAATAAACCAACCAAACCAAAACTTCTAGAAATTTGTTCGTGCGTCTTAAATTGGACACTTTTTCTGTTGCGTTTCGTGTTCCTTTTTTGCTCCCTGGCATCTGTTTCACGCGGCGTACGTAATTCTCGAGATGCCTGTAAATAATACGATTACGAAGGTTGCATTATTACGCCAAAAATGTGCCCTTAGACAGTGCAAAATTGGACCGAAATAGCGCCGCCTGTTGACTCCGTGAGGCTCCTTTTTTTTCTCTGGACATTCAAGATTATGGCCAGAAGATCACTTTTCGTTTCAATTTTATGGGGGTTAGCCTTGAAAAAAAAATTGTATTCGCCTTTCCTTGAAAATACCCCCAAAATATAGCAGTAAAACTGAGCGCTCATTTCTGAATGTAGTCGCCCGCCTCTATCTAAAATAGGCCTGCAATTTGGGGCTTTTTGTGATTGAAATACTCCGAACTCGAAACTTTCGGTCCCAAATTCGGGATTTATAGAAATATTTCTATGATACCTCCTGATTATGGCATGTCTTATTGTATCACAAAATGGGATCACAAAATATCATGAGCAAGCCCGCAGAAATTAATACAACCATTTGGTGGAATGCACTCCGAAGGAACGAAAGAAGTGTTCTAGAATGTGAATAAAATCACAAGCTTCGATGAAAAACGTAAAGGAAAATATTTTTTTTCTTTCCGATAATAATTATTAATACCGGTAATCAAAGCCAATAGACCTATTCAGAAAATTATGACCCCTGCAGGTTCTCGTTAGGACGTACCATGGAGGGGGAAGGAGGCGGGGCCTGTGCAATATGAAAGGGGGTAAGGGAAAAACGGCTTGCACCGAGAGAACTTATGAAGGTACTCAGTCTTCCGATTGTTAGCATGTATCAAATTAAGGCTATGCTGAAAACAAAGCAAAAAATCCAACGTGAAATTCAGTTTAAAAAGCGCTCGCGTAACTTAAATTGAGACGGTGACATGATCGGTCCGTAAGTTGTGATCGTGGCTAGGAATAGCGAGTGTACCTATGTAACCCCATGATATGGCTAGCGGCTTCATTTGCTTCCCATGCAAGCCCCAGATGTTTGATTTGGGCCGTGTCCGAAACGGGCTTCCAAAGCTACGGCTAGGGCTATATTGTCTACGCGTCTCCACGCATTTCCAATGGAGTGAGAGACCTAGACCTAGCGCTAGACAAGAGATTCGGATGCAGCCTTGGAATGATAAAAAATGTGTGGCGCATTTCAGCAAAGCGCCAAAGTTCACAGAAACGCAATGCAAAAATACCATCTTTAGACGCGACAATTGTGACGTCACAATTCCAGACGCGCCAATTTCAGAACTTTTACCTAACAACTCAAAGGTCGTAGCAACCTTGTGTTTTGTCTGCGTTTGCTCTTCGTTGCGTGAACACGGACTCCTGTTTCGGTGCACTTTTTCGTGCTCAGTTACAGTCAATTCACGGAGATTTTATCATAAGAGATATTTTCTTGAGTGAAATTCCAAAGCGAATCGAAATGTTCAACTTTGCAGCAGCGTTTTCTGAGAGGATCAGGTAAGAAAGTTTTTTTAACCGAGGAATCATACTTAGTTGAAGTTTCAGAATGTACTGAAAATTCATCGATAACAATGATGATATTATTGAAACACGGTAAACGCAAGAAGGAAACCAAAGGCCTTCCACAGCTCATCAACTAATCTTACATGTTTGTATATTATCGAACATATTGAAGGATTGTTGATTTAGTCGTACATCTGATCAATTTACGAACAATTTTTCTGGTCATTTCTGCATCTTCATGTTAGATATTCTCGTAGCACCAAGGTGGTGCCTTTCGTGCCATGCGATGGTGGGCGAAGTTCCCCAGAGCAAGCACACGGAGGTGGCGGTGAGATCTCAGGGTGCCGAAACGGCAACTCGCCTGCCTCCTTGGATGATGACAACGGTATGACTTCAGCCAGGTGGATCCAATCCAGAGGTGATACCTGGATGAGATCAAGAATCACCGGCCAGACGTTTGGCCCAGCCCCACTGAAGGTATTCCGAAACCGTGCCACTTGTGATTCTGCCCAAGATCAGTGGAATCCCAATCAACCACAGGAAGGACTCGCTTTAAAGTAAGTTGATGAATTTAGTTTTCTTAATTAATATTTAAAAGTTAAATACAGCTATTTTTCATTTTGTAGTACTTGTTTGTCATCACTGAAAGTAACAAATACTGGTACATTACAAAACATGATGACTGAATTAAACAAGTGAAGCTAATCACTTTTACTTACAGGCGTTAAGTTCCAAGACAAAACAAAACAAACGTTATAGGAGGTTAGTTGAATACAGGTAGCTAAATAAATGTAACTCCAGTGGAACTGATGTCAGAATGTGGTGGGGATTTTTATTAAACAAACGAATGTAAAAGCTAACAATGATAATTTTGAATAGGAAATTATTAGAAGACAGAGTTGCAGCCTAAATGAAAACCTGTAGTCTTAGAAATAAATCCAATAACTGTAAGAATTTGTGCCAATTACAATTTCCGGGATAGGTAACTTTATTTTGTCTCCACTAACCATCCCTCCACTCAGGAGTCTCTTGCCTCGCAAGAGGTTTTGGCGGTACCACCGCGCCAAGGTCCGGCCGATGGTCGCCAGTGTCTCTCGGTCTGCACGGCGGCCCCATCCTTCGGCCGAAGACTCCGCAGACGGCATGCTACTAACATCCCTAACAACCCCGCCTTCTGTGGACAGAAGCCAGCAAGTTATGAAACTGAAATCTTGCCAAGCTATCACCGATATTGAACTCCGGAGTTCTGCAAAGGATAGCCGATCCCCGGTCATTAAACGACAGCCAGATCTTTACAGCAAATCAAGGTAAGTTGGTATAGGTAACCTGCAATAAACCATGTTTGAGATTAGTAATGTCATTTTTTTTAACAAATCTTCCAAATCAGATAAATGTTTATTTAGGACCATTTTCCAGTATTTTCCTCTTGGGATCATATACATGATTTTATTCTAAAACAATAAAATTAACTTCAACATCACGTTTGATAATTGATAACAATCAGAGTCATAGATTTAAAGAAATTAAAATTCACGATGTAGTCAGCTGTGGATCCAGAAAGTGCCAGACTCTATCATACTATACAGTGGCTTTCTCACTTCAGCACTGGTGAAGCTTGGGCATTTCCAATAGAAGTCAGAACTAATGAATATGTTCCAATTAACTGCTACAGAAAATCTCTTTTGGGAGGGGATCTCCCTCTTAAATATCCCGTAATAAAGACACTGGTTTTTAAGCTCCATATTTGCGTCTCCAGTATTTCCTGTATCCAATAAATCGTCCTGTCTTCTGCACGAGTATCCAACATCCCATCTCTCTTTGCCTCCAGTTCTCAGCTGTCTTGGACATCAAGATTGCGGAGTCTGTTTACATCCAGAAAATACCGCAATGCCACCGCTGTTGTGCCCTTTCGGGCAGCTGAGGAACTTGGGAACAAACCCGGCGCACAAGAACTCCAGAGCAAAAACACTGTAACTTTGAAGATGGAGATTGATGAGAGGGGATTTGGTCCAGACGGTGAGATGAAAACCATTTAAACCTGGTTTCAGATTGGTTGAGACTCAGAATTTTAATCCAGATGAGTGAAAAAACAGTTCATTTTGCCACTTTACAAAGATCTTTGATATTAGCACCAAATAACGAAACCGTAATGGGATTTCTTAGAAGCTGATTATAACCAAATCAAGGGAGAGGCTTGAAATCTTATAAATGTCCTTACCAGGAATTATTGAGTTCCTGTTTCGTTTTTTTTTCCTTGCATTTATTGACACAGGGGAATCTCAGGTGCCTTGCCGCTGTCAGACCAATGTCACCGTAACAACCACTGACACTGCTCCTCTGCCGATCCCAGGGGTACCCCAGTTTGCCGAAGAGTGCCATTATAACCCGTCCCCTGCCTCACCATGCTGTTCCAACTCATTGCGGGAGCTACACCCTTCTTCCAAACTCGATATCTTCTCGAATCCGTCCACCCCAAGACCTGCATCTTTGCTGTCTTGTCAGGAAGACGGAGTGATGACCAGTGGAGACAGGGCCTCCAGCGGAAGAGAATCAGTCTTCATCCCATCCACTCCTTCAAGAAATGATGCAACATCCTCTCCCTCTCTGGCATCTTCGTGGCAACCGCGAGAAGCAGCAAGCGAGAAGGGCGATGAAGCACTTGAAGATGGAAAATTAATTTCTACACTGCTGCATCCTTCTTCTGCTTCGAGGAGTAAAGTAACACCTTATTGCCAGGCCTCAATGTCTTCGATTCCAAAGAAGCCAGAAGCTGTGAAGCAAGGTGGAGATAGAACACGAATTAGACGCGGGTGTCTAAAATCGAAGCCCGTGCTCATAAAGTCCAAAACAACTCCAGTTATCCAGGTAACTTAACAATTCCATAAAACTGCTATCGTGGATACATTTATTGACCAATCCACTTAGAAACTAAGCAGTTCATGCTGCAATGTCTAAAAAATCATGTCCACCTTACTTTCAGGAACAAAACGTTCATGGCAGGAAACTTGAAAAACACTATTACCAGACGGTGTTAGTTGATATCAAGCGGTCATCTGGCCAGCGGCCAGCGGTACAAACCATGACACTCGACGTCACCAACCGCGTCAAACTGAGAGAGAAGGCAGTAAAACGAGAGGAGCAAGTCGCTGTAAGTTGCCTCAAGATATTAAAATCCACTCAAAACCACAATGCATTTTTCCTCCCTAAAATGTTTGCCACTGGCATAATCGGACATTGTCATCTGGTTTAGAGACAAGAAATTTATACACAGTTCAGCTGAAAACAATTAATATGACGACCGAAGACGTACATATATCTATTGCATGGGGAAAATTTCAGCGTGAAATCACTGACAAGAAGTTATCTGGGAAACATTCGTTTCTGTGGAAAATTACTTGGATGGCAACCTGTCCTTTGTCCGTGATTAACTTGAGGCTGACGGTGGAAATTTTAATAGATTAGTTTAATTTACAGTTCAACCTCGAGGATGATATGCATGGCGATCAGATAGACTTTAACAATGACGTGACGGATATGGAAGGGGAACAGTGTGTTTGTAGCTATTTTAAGCGTTACATCTGTTAATGTTATTTCCACAGCTGAAGATTGATGTCTCTTTCATCTATGCAAACCTCGAGGCTACCAAGGTAACATCTCCGCAGTGCCGCTGGGTTGAGGTCTTGAAACGCATCATCGAGCGCGGTCAAACACTGCACCGATTGAAACTTGAAAAGAAGCAAGTGCCGTACACTAGCGAAGAAATTAGGGTAGGGAGCACTTGCAGTAATCCAGACTAGTGGTATAGCGCATACATATGTGCATTGAATTGAAATGGAATTTAAAAATATACCAAAACATGTCAGAAAAAAATGTTTCCTCTTCCCGCAGGATATCGAACTTAACGCTTACAGAGCGCGAGAGAAACTGTACTTGCTGAAGCAGATGATTACAGCTGCTAGTTTTGTCCAAGCGCAACCTGGGTAAGCAACAAATCCAATGGTAACTTTTCTTAAGTCTATCGCAAAACCATACATTAGGAAATCGTTCTCGCTGGACTTAAATTTCCTATATGTAATGTAAACAGGGTCTGAATTTATTTCACCTAGCAGAGAGGCACGGAGACAATTTTTTCACCACATCTGCAATACGCCACCTGATTCAAAAGGGTCATCAGTGATTGCGCCGTGTGAGAAAACCGCAACTGAGACGTCGACTAAATCTCCTTCTCCTCCCAGAAAGTGTGGTTTTGGTCCAAATCAGGCTATCTCGGCCATCATTGCCAAGGAAACGACCTCCAAGAATTCAAAGAGTAGAATTTCGGAAAGAAAAGGATCAGCCAAGGAAATTGCTCCAGGTCGTGTAGAAGGAACTGAAAGTCCACACAATTCTCCGCCCCAAATCTTTAAGAGGATGACTCATAAGAAGTTGAGGCGCTGCATCCAAGAAAAGACAAGCAAGGCTCAGACAAGTGGTTCGAATTCAAGACATGCATCCACACTCACCAAGCCCAAATCTTACAGTTCAGAGCACCAAAAGAGCCTGCCACTGACGATGCCGAGGAAAAGCTCCCTTGGTGCATCATCTCAAGCTCTGAGAAAAACTTTAAGTCCGAGGAACACCCCAGCTGAAGCATCAATGAAAAAGTCCCCAAACAAGGCGCTTAGTGTTACAGGCATCTCTCCATCAAAGACCACCCATCCTAACATAGCACCATCGTGTCTGAAGAAGATCTTACCCGACCATTTGCAGGGTCCCTACCCAACCGTTGACTCAGGTGACTTGGAGTACGTCATGACCAGTTTGGGGAGAAAGGTGGTATTAGGACGCGGCAATAATGGGGAGGTCTTACTGATGCGTCGCCATAGTGATGGTACACTCCTTGCCGTCAAGAGGCTTTGCAATAAACGCTTCAGGATCAAGTACATGCTCCAGGAGCTTGCAGCCATGCAAGCCGTGTCCAGCTGTCCCTTTTTTCCAAAGCTTTTTGGCGTGGTAGACAACAGCTCCTTCGCTCAGGAATTCCTTGGGGACGAGAGCACCAACCACGCTGTGAATTTTGCCGCAGCACGGTTCACCTACGGCCTGCTGACAGCACGCGAGTGGTTGTACGTCTGTCGGGACATCGCCGAAGGCTTGAAAGCGTTACATCGCACAGGCTGGGTGCACAACGACCTGCACGTCGGCAATGCCATGTTGTGCCCGAGACCTTCGGGGTCAAAGGTTGGGTGGACGGCAAAGATTATTGACCTGGGGCTTGCCTACCCACTCCAAAATCTTCCCCCCGCCTACAAGCTGACTCATGAAGAAAAGCAGTGTTACTACCAGATGCGCAAACAGGTATATATCAAAGTTCATCCTTAGAAAATAACTTTACATATACATCTTATGTACTGATTTTTGTTGATTTGTTGATTTGTTTTCATGCTTAGTTCTTGTTTTTAATCAAGTTATCGTTTCTGTATTTTTTTTCAATCCAATGCTCCGCGATCTTTTCGAGCTAAAATCCCAAACTCTTTATATTTCCTTATCAATTTCTGACACCTGTTTTTAATCAGCTACTATGGCCTTAAGTCCTCTTGCAGCCTCCATTCTGCTTACTGACCTCTAGGTTGCTCCCGAGATAGTTGAAGGCAAGACCCAGTTCTCTACAAAGTCAGACATCTACAGCCTTGGAAAGCTGTTCTTGGACATAGCCTTCAACTCGAGTTCTCTTCACGGCTTACGACACCTCGGCTTGGCGTGCATGATTCGCAGCCCGGCTCACAGACCGACGCTGAGTAGTGTTCTCAAGAAACTAGACGGTCTGTGCTCCAAGATGGCCAAATCCAAGCTGCCTCCATTGCCTCCACCTTAAAGACGAGATCATCCGTGCTTGCGTCGAATTACATCAACTTATCAGTCAGTTTCATCGTTGAATATGCATATGGACAAACTTTAATCCAATCAGAGCCAGGGCGGAATTTACATCTCAACATTTTCTTCCACGTCGTCACCGTTCATGTTATTTCTTCGCATGGAGCATCCGCGAGTGGTTTCAACAATGTCTTACGATCATTTTGTTACTAATATTCGGAAATGTTCATTTTCCGAGACAGGTCCGCTAACGGGGTTTTTTTTTGCCAGTGACACGTAGTGAGTGCACACGGGCTGACAGGCAAAAGGATATGAACAATATGAATGACCATAGCAACAAGATTAACTCTACGTGGGAATAAACAGATATTTTACAGATGTACTTTTAATGCACATCTTTATGCACGGCAAATTTGAAAAGGAACAGATTTTGGAAAATATGTTTTTAGGGGGCAGATCCCCCACCGAGAGAGGCTCAAAACCCATGGCTCTTCTAGGATCCAAATTTGTGAAGCACAAGAAATGTTTGCTTTTGCTTGCGGTCAAATTATGTCAGCAACCCACACGTCAAAGGATGTGAATGATGAGTGCTTTTCACTGGATCATGGATCCGATATGATTTTTGCTTTGTCCATAAATTTTCTTGGGAACAATTTCTGCCTTACAGCTCTTTATAATTAAATTTGGCCCCCTTTCACAGAAATAAATCTTTGAGCGGTGTTTCGTTTTCCTTAATATTTACAGTTGTGGCATATTATAGAGTGACTGGTGGTAGCGATTACAGTTTAGAGGAAGCAGTGCTTCATGCTGACCGACAGCATTCTTTGTTTAAAGTGCCCGACAAGGCCAGGACATGATTTGAAATGATAAAACACTTGAAATCTACAGTCTTAAATTGAGAACTCCCATCCCTAATAACATCGAAATATACTCATACAGGTCTGGTTGTAAAATTAACGTAATATTTATTGACTGGACCTCAAAGGGTGTTCCAGTTCATTTGTCAAATATTTGTAATTACATTTCCCAAAAGTGTAAAAAAAAAACACAGCATGTTAATTCTGGTTTGTCCAGAACTTTCTTTTAATAACTCAGAATGAGTTTTGACGGTTTGGAATTCGTGAATAAGTGTCCTGTTTTAGTATAAACAGGAAGTTTTCTTGTGTATTGCAAAAAAAAATTAAGTCAAAGTAACCTCGAGTCCCTTTGTACAACTTTTAAAACTCTCGGGTCGAAACATTTTATTTTGTTTTGTATCTTTTTGAAGACAAAATACACCTGAAATTTTCATTGCAACTACGGGGTATAATTATAAATGACCAAAAATATTTTCTTTGGTAGCTTATGTCCAAACTTTTTCATTTCTGATTTTACATATTTTTTCTGTCACTTTTTGTGAGATTTCATTTCATTTTAAGAATACAACTAGGGCAAATTACGCCTGGCTGGTATATTTCACTGAATAAGGACATTAAGTATTACCGCGCGCTTAACACCAGGTTGAAATAATTCATCTGTGTACGTATAGAACTTCAATAGACTTTTCTTTAGTGTCATGCAACAGTGACTGTCATTTGTTTACAGAGACCTTGTTCTTGGTTAAAAAGACACCTTTTGCCTCGAAAGTGTTTATACTAAACTTTTAGCGGCTAGCTGCAGTTTGGTAAACATTGTGTGACGATTTGCCTCTGTGACGTAACAAATGAAATTGCTTCTATGCGTAGGATGTTCCTCATGAAAACGTCAGATGTCCATGAAAGATACACTTTCATTACAAAAAGAAAATTCACGTCATATGGTGATCTTTCCTCAGTTTATTTTTAAGAACGAATTATGCCAAGAGGGATATAGACGTGGCTATCAGACACAGGGCCGACAGAAATAGGCTAACAAATGTAGTAGTTGCTGTCAAAGATGCAGCCGCAGATGGTGAAGAATTCTTGAAATAAAAGCGTATGAAAATGAATCATTTCTTTATCACATTCTGTCTTCATTGACTTATCTGCAGTGCGACCTGACACATTAAATACAAACAACCCAACAAACATCTAAAAAAAACACCAAACACTGTAGGTTTTTTCCACCTTTTTAATGATATAAAGACACACAAAACAAATCAAAGATCTTCGTACATGCAGGTAATATGGTTACTGATATGTACATGTCTTCCACATTACTTTGTACATACGGAGTAAATTGCGCAAAAGCCCTTGTTGGCTTTCTACTGTAATGCATTGTACACTGGAGAAATTTCAGCGTGCTCAGTTTGGACTAAGTTACTGTCGCCTTGCTCAGAAAGAAAAGTTGCACCCAATATTGCAAGATATGAATACATTTTGAGGTTTAGCGAGTTCATAATTTGCCCAAGGAAAGCATGGATTCATCGTGGACAAAAATCCCGTTGCTATGGCACGTGATCAGCACGAGTTTGTAACGTTCAAATATGAAGCGAAGTTTTCAGACATTACATGGAAGACAATTCTCTGAAATTTCATACACGTTGCAGACAGTTTTCTTGAATAAAGCTACGAGGCAGGGTTTGTATGAAATCACGTGATACAGCAACAGAAAATGCCGTAGGGAGAAATATTACATAGGCAGAATACAATGTACAGTGTACCAGACATCTTGCGAGAAGGCTTGTCTGATTTCTCTTTTCAGAATTGAATAACTATGTTGGACAGAAAGCACAAGACCTACAGTCAGGTTTCAGCAAATTATCTGGTCAGTGGTTTTACAGAACAGTGTAATACTGTGAGTTTTCTTGTATGCAGCAAAAATGGTATCGTCTGATTACAATTTATTTTCAGCTCCCTCCAGAAAGTTCTTTTTTGTGACTTGCGCAACCAACACTAAAAAATTTATGAAACCATGATAACTTCTAAACAACTTTGACGAGAACAATAACAAAAATTTAATATGGACATTTATTTACATTAACACTAGGCACTGACATGATTAACTATCAAGCTTTATGTTGTCTTGTTCTTGATCAGATGCTTACAACGTTTTCTTTTCTTCTGTGAACCCTATTCCTTTAAAAAGAAAAAAAAAAGGATTGCAAAAGTAGCATTACTAGTTTAAGTTGTTTAAACAAAAATGTGTTTGCACTGGTTACTTGGACTAATCTGTTAATACTAAGAAGTCGGAGACAAAATGATGAAAGTTATGCATCCAAATATCAGGGAAGCAATATAACAATTGAATTGCATCTAACTGATGTTCAAACTTGAATATATGCAGGTCTTTCCTCTTGGCTAATACTAAAAAGGTTTCCTGAATGTTTTAATTTGATGCAATTCTCCACAACTGTGTTGTTGTTTCACCTTCAGGCCAGAGCAAACTCAGCGCAAAGTTAAAAAGTGAAATCGTACTGAAACTATTTCAGGGATCCCATATAAATCTGAAAACTAATTCCATGACTTTTCTGAAACCAAAATATGACGATTTTAATATTTTTTCTGCAGAAAAGTGTTTGGTATTATGAACTGGTAGACTGTCATAGCCACTGCTACAGACTGGTAAGGATAGCCTGTAAATTTGTCATTATTCCCTTATTACATCAACAGAAGCAACAAAAATAAACTTTACGTGATCTTAATTTCCGTAACAAACATATTTTTCTTCTGACAACAGGATCCCAGGACTGTTGCATTTCCCAATTTTCCCTAACTTTTCAGGGCAACTTTTTCACCAGGATTTCCCATGATCCTGGCAACCTTGTATTTCCAATAATGTCACACTCTTTTTCTGAGTTACAAACAGGCCTCAATTCATTTGAGACGTTAGGTTTTTCATTCTTGCATCTTGCAATGCATTAGGATTCACTCTTATTAGTGTGATGTCAGATTGTTTAAATATCCCAGAACTGCTTGACTGCATCTTTCTACGATATCAAAGTTACGTCTGTACAGCTTATTTTGCAAAGAAAAGGAAAGTTCTTGAGTATAATGGATGAATATCTGACAAACTGATTCCACATTTTGCCTAACAAAACATGTTCAGGATTTTGTGCTCAATATTCCCTGAAAGTGGGTACTTTAAACATTTCTGCTGTGAGAAAAGAAAAGACACTCTCCCCTGTAAACAATTTCTGAGCTTATTTTACAAGGCTCAGGAGATCTATAAATTTTTGCAGCTTCTCAGAAATGACCTTTTATGAACAGCAAATGTGCCAGTTGATGCATGTACAAATCTACCGTTTCTACTTTAACTGCCTGACGTAGCTTCAAACTTTTGCCAAGTCCACCATCCTGTTACTTTTGCAAGGATCCGGGTCTATCAAAGCCTAAATTACACTACAAGTCTTCATACCCTTTGTGGACACTACATGGTTTTTGTTTTCATCTTTGCAAGGCATTTAATACTAGGCTGGCAATACTGTCTGATCTAATTGCAATGTCATGATTTGAAATCTACATCAAGTAATGAACACTCATGTCATCACAGCCACGCCTCATTTCTTCATTTTCCTGTACAAATAAAAGAAATAAAACAGACAGGAAATTGAAATTTGCGTAAAATCTTCAGGAGAATTTAGAAACTTGCTAAGCTACATGTATATTAAGTTTCAAGGACAAATTAAATCCACGTCCATGCTTCCTTTGATATTGGCTCTTCGGAACATAACTAAAAGTAAAACAATTTTTTTTCCCCAAGCATGTTTGATAAATTTGCGTTCACTTACTTGCTGGGAACAATATGTACAGCAGCAGGCTCTACATTGCCTGGCCGCCCCTCATAACCAACAGTACACTAGAAATAAAAGCATAGGATCAAATGATGTTAATGAAAAGGGAAGTCCTAACACAGGGCTGGAATGCAACGCTAAAGTAATTCAACTGAAAGGTCAAAAGCACAACACAAGGAAATTTCTCTCTGAAACCATTCAACTGTGTTCTTTTATCTGTAACATGGTAGAACATACAAGGGAAGTACATAAAACGGGATTCAGAGTAAAATATGACCTACTGGGTCTCCTATGTTTTGGGAAAAAGATTGAGGACAATTTTAATGGCTGCTGAACGTGGCAGTCGGATGAACCGAGATAGTTCTGCTTACAAATGGGCAAAACAGCAGGAAAATTTAGGGGTTTCTTTGTGGTTTTTTGTCAATGAACTGATGCACTAGGCAATGTTTTCTGCTTCGGAGCTGCATGACACTCAGACCTACTCACAAACATTTAGTATAAACACATAAAAAGACAAGGAAAAAAGTCTCATCAAAAAACAAATTCAAATTGATTATCCTGAGATGCATGTACAAGTGACTCAGTAATTCCAGAAATTGTTCCATTTTTTTGGTGTCCATGTCATATCTGACATGGTTTTCTAAGTTCCGAACACATTTTCTAATTTCCAAGAGTGATGACTTGATGCAAATTACCTGCCAAACAAATAGTACCGATTAGAAATGAATTCCATTGATATTTCCATGTCAAATAACAAAGATCAGATGTAGCAGGGAAACAAAACTGTCTCACTTTTGGACCCCTAATTTCTGGAATTACCCAACTGCGACTAGAAAGACTTCTGTACAAGTTACAAAGCTCTAAATCAACTTTTCTGTTCATGGTATAGAAACTTCTTTATGTAAAGACCACATGACTTGGTAATGATCACATGACATGGTACTACCTCCTAGTCATGTGACTGATCACCCTCCTCTTCAACTTTCATGCAGCTAAAGAAAGTCACCTTGATAGGCTCTGGGCAAGGACTCTTTGTTGAGCAAACTTGGTTGAAATATTTCATCAATAAATTCTTAACGTCAGATTTTTTCCACTCACTCTGGTCTCCACGTCAGTCCATTCTCCACTTTCCAACTCTTCCTCTGCAGGCCTTTTACGATCCTTGGGACTGGTGGAGGCGGGCCTTTCTGTTTTCAGCTTCTCAATGTCGGTAAACTGCACTGCTCTGCCACCACCGCGAGTCTGGAGAACTTCAGCCTGAGGGAATGAAATGTTACACAATTTATTATCAGTTCATGTCTGGCATTTTATGATGGTATTTGTTGGTACTTGTAGTACATGTTACAACATTTCTATTCCCTAATTACTTTTTGCAATCAAGAAAGCAAGACAAACTACGCCAGCAACTAAATGGCTTAAGCATTCAAACCTCTTTGAGAAGTTGAAATTCTAGTGTTTTTTTTTACCATTCTTTCCAAGAAGTGTCTATTCAAGAGATAATCTGATTGTCACTGAAATGCAGCACACTAACTTTACATCACTCATGGCCAATTCAAAAAAAAAAAAATAATAATTTGTCCAAATCTAGACTTAACAGGTACAGCTAATCATTTAGGTGCAAGTGCATTGTAACAAGTTGATCTACTCTGAACTAGTCGTTACTCCACTTGCCTATTCCTATGAAAAAAATAAACATGTGCACGCACAAGTAATGTAGATGTCAAATGGTAAGCCATTTGTGAATCCAAGTTGATTTTGCCGAATCCAACATGTCTGTCTGTAACCATGGTTACCTTATAGAGCTTAGTCTCCAATTCACCCTTGGAATCTTCCTCCTGGTGCGTCAGCATGTAATTATCTGTTCCCTTCAAGTCTTTGACGGTTGGTACAGCAACAGTGTGTTTCTTCTTCAGACCGGCAGGCTGTAGGACAGTCTCTATTTACAACAAGCAAAGATGGTACATCACAATCAGGACTGATACGATGCCGTAGCTGAATACACACAAAACACATTGCGTCTCATTGGTCATTTATTTCACATCTCAGGAGCAAAGAGGTCATTCTGATTCTATGTGTGTTATGTTTGTAGACAATTTCAAGCTTAACAGTTGTGAAATGTTGAAAAAAAATGTGAACATCCAAAAACCAGTCTCGACAGGCATTACAAACTGTGCCAAGACAACTGGCTTTTTATTTAAGAAACCATTCTGTATAAGATTTTGTGTTTCATGTACTTAGCAGGTGTCCTATAACGATCCATTTAAACCAGAAACAAACACACGCACACATAACAGCACTTGAAAACAGTTTCCACCTTCTAAAATCACAGCAGCTAAGGTGTCTTACAAATTCTTTTTAACAAGACAGGAAAAGAAGATTGGAAGACTGTAGAACTTGCAAAACAAAACACTTCCTTTACATCAAAATAGTTTAGCAACATAGCTGTCATATTTGAAATTGAAAGCTACACATTTTTTCTTTAGAAAGTTCATGTTACAAACAGCTGTCAAACTTAATCATCACGCACAAACAAAAACCCCCAAATCGCCAAGCAATAATCCCTTCTGTGCTACATGTACATTGATCCTCAGGGGATGGAAAATGTCTACTTTGCACATCACAACGTCAAAGGATTTTTTTCTCAAAACAAGGACACACACACACAAACAGACATGTATGAAAGAGCTCCAAGTCCACATGCAAAGCACTGGCAGATGTGGTAGGTGCCCTGTCAAAATAAATAGACAAAATGTTTCATATTGCCTTGAAAAGAAAAAGAAAAGACACTACAACTAGCGAAAATATAAGGCACTCTACACGTACATCTGCATTAAGGTTGTCAACAAAATAATTTGTACTGCTCTACATGTTTGGTGGGAAGTGAATACATGTACGTTGTAGCACTGGAAAGCATTGCTAGACTTGAAAATTGGATGCTGACAAGAGGTGATCATATCAGGCTTGTTTGAAACAAAAAGGGCCTGTGAACAACTTTATACATGTAGCTTTATAGGTGGAGTAGTAAATCAGGCTCAAATTTTAATTCAGAAGAGACTGATCTTATATTTGGATGAATTTCATTGGTATTCTTTTTACCGATCCCCCCTAAGAAGTGTGCAGATTGGGGTAATAAGCCACTTTAGTGGATGGACATTTTCAACAAGGTACGCTGTACCTGATGTTGATAGCTGATAAGTACTGTAACAGACCAGTTAACCCCCCCCCAATACTTCCAAATCCAGATGGAAGACGAGGGCTTTTGCAGGATAAATGAAAACCAGTGAAGCCAAACCCACTTACATATCACGTTGGCTTGGTGCTTCTTGACATGCAAGTAAAATGAGACATTGGTATCTAGTGGAACAAAGTGGTAGATTCTTGGAGTTTTTAGAATGGTTTCAGCTCAGATTGTTACAAAAACGTTAGGGAAAAACAAATATCTTGGAATTGTGAATAGAAAGTACTTTTCAGGGGCTGGAATCAGTTTGGAAATGGAGTAATTTTCACGTGATAACTTTCAACTGACCAGTCTCAAGTGTTGTCGCCGGCTTGTGGTCAATCCAGGCATTAGACGTGGATCTTGACCGACGATGTCGGAGCTTGACTGGTGGCTGGGTGGTCTTTGGGGGTGGAGACCGGGTGCGGTTGAGGTCAGCCTTGGCCTTGCGTGCTTTGTCCTCACGCTCCTGCTGGGCACAGACGATTTGCTTCAGCTGTCGTAACTTCTCATCCTTGACCCAGATCTTGGTCTGCATCTCCATCTGAGTGGCTCGGACTCGCTTTTCCTGTAAGTGGGAAGAAGAAACGTTGTGATCAGGGACTCTAACAATCTTAGTGAAGATGGTACTGAGTACAAAATGCTTATGTTACTCGCACTGTGGACATCCCTTTCACCTGAATATTTGGTTATTTCCGTAAACAGTCTCCTTCACACACGGTCTTTTCTACTTGCGCCTGTGGATGTTACTTGTTCATCTGTCCACATGAAGAATTGCATGCCTCTCAACAAGAGTGACCAAAAGCCATGAATACGCATTCGTTATTAAAATCTTGCCCCGAGCATGGCTATTTGACACATGAGACCCTACAGTGTCCTTCAGTAATCAAGTGTCCCCATTTACCTATCATAAGCTTGCTGAAATTCAAGAAGTACGGAGTGGTGACAAACACTTTACTCAGAATTATTAAATTATTCGGATGAATTAAACAGACTCTAGTGGAGGACTTTTGCTTGTCACAACATGTCAGCATCAGTGTCTTGGTTTTGTTTGATCCTTTCAACACCATGGCAGGAATAGCCGGACTTAAGTCAGGCAAACCTTCACGTCTAGTTCCACGTCCATCAATGTTTGTCCTGGGTGATATTGATTGAAATGAGCATCAGAGGCTGACGTGGACTTGAGTGTGTAATGGATCCGAACATTTGGTGACTTAGGTAGGAAAGGTGTCCCCAACTTCATACATGGAGATAATTCATCAGTGAACTTAGCAAAAGCTTACATGAATCAGCGTGGTAAAATACCAGGATTAGTTGGGAGAAATCTTTCAATAGGAGATTTTGAGACATGTGATAGCAGCAGACAAACTGGTCCTTTTGCCACAGTCGTGTGTGTGCTCAGTCCTACGGGGGCATTCGCAGCATTGTTCATGCATGCAAAGAACAGACTTTGAGACATGTGATAGCAGCAGACAAACTGGTCCTTTTGCCACAGTTGTGTGTGTGCTTAGTCCTACGTGGGCATTCGCAGCATTGTTCATGCATGCAAAGAACAGACTTTGAGACATGTGATAGCAGCAGACAAACTGGTCCTTTTGCCACAGTCGTGTGTGTGCTCAGTCCTACGGGGGCATTCGCAGCATTGTTCATGCATGCAAAGAACAGACTTTGAGACAGGTGATAGCAGCAGACAAACTGGTCCTTTTGCCACAGTCGTGTGTGTGCTCAGTCCTACGGGGGCATTCGCAGCATTGTTCATGCATGCAAAGAACACACAATGGTTGGTCTGCAACTACCAAGCATCTCAGTCTCCCACTATCAAGCAATTAGCTGTACTCAACACCAACTGTCTCCAAGTAAGAACAATCCAACTCATCACAATGAATTTGAATAAAGCAAGTAGCATTCCCAAAACACTGCATATTCTGTAATATTTCATTTGACTGTTTGTGTCAACTTACGCATTCTTTCTCCCATTTCACCTTCTCGCTGCCTGCCACACCCTTCAAGGCCTGCCTCAGACGATCCTGCTCATGTTTTTGTTTCTGAGTCTTGGACTTCTCCTCACGAAGCTATCATACCAAGGAAAAAAGAGACAGATTGACAATGGGGTGCTATAGCAAGGAGTCAAAGTACCCTAATCATCCACTACTGTAGCAAATAGGTAGGTATACTAAACAACTAACATCATGCATTGTCAACAAGACAGAAGAGCTTCCTTTCACATAACTCGAAGTTATCAAGTGGCATAATCATATGCCAGCTGACCAGGGGTAATAATAACTTGGAGGGGGGGGTAGATTTCAATATCCTCCTATACCTCGGTTTCCAGCTCTCTCTGGCTGTATTCATAAGCCGTCTGTGTCTTTTTCATCATTTCGTTCTCTTGTTCCAGGTCCCGGATGCGCTTCTCAAAACGCTGGGTATTCTTGTCTTTGGATGACACCTTCATGTTCAGCTCGCTGTTTTGTTGTTTCAGAGTCTCCATTTCTCGTTCCATCTCCATCAGGCGAGCCCGGAAAGCGCCCTCTACAGATTCACAATTGGGAGTCAACGGGACACATCACGATTGATTTAGGTTTACAAAAGTGTTCCTCGGGGTCTTTTTAGAAATGTAACCTGCATGGTCTCAATGTGCTTGATCTTGATACAATAAATCTTGAGGGGAAACCTCATTGGCTTCACATGACAATAGATAATGGATATTACAATCCAGCACTCCTTGGACTTACGCTTGCGAGTAAGCTCTTCCTGCAGTGTGTGTCGTCTCTTTTCACGCTCGGCCAAGAAGGTGATAAGATTCTGTAGAATGCTGTCTTCATTGGGGTCATTAACCTGTGACACAAACGAAGGAGGAAAAAATGACAACAGAATTCAAACGTACTTTCAACTTGAATGTGGAAACAGTCAGAGGTTATCCCCAATTTGGCAAAGACGACAGTAGTCCCAGACATCTGCTACAGCAGAGATCTGCCATAACACGACTTAAGTTTCAGCTGTAAACTTTTACTCGTGGTGTTCATGTATGGATAATACAGGAATTGCTCCATCTATTGAAGAAAAAAATGCATACCTGGGTATCTACAGTCCCTAACTTTAAATGGAAAGGAAAATCAAACATGTAAGTTCAACTAAAGTGCCAATTACCCAAAATACTCATTAAGTAACCACTGACAACACTAGCAAGTGGCTGGAGCTGGTTCCCAGTCTTAGCCAGGTAATTCAGACGCGGCCTTACCTCTAAGCAGGGGAATGCTGGACCCAGATTGATAATGACTGGTGTCTGAATTGGAAGGTTCTCAAGATCTGCACCATCTTCCAACATCTTCTTGTATATCTGGTTAGCTACAGTGGGGAATGATAGCGAGGGTGCTGGTTAATTCAAAGGGACATCAGTAACTTTCTATAAATTGTCCAAGTGTAATTCTAAAAAAGAAGGAAAGGCAGCATTCAACCCTTCAATCATATCCAAAGGCATCAGAGACCTTTGTGATATCAACAGGAGTTTCATTGTGGCCTTCTCTAATGAGTTAAGAGAACTAAAAGTCAGTTTATATTTTGCACGAAAGTGAAAACTAATGCAAATTTCTGATGTCAGATCAAATATTCACATTGCGAACTTGTAAACGCTGAGCGCATTTCATCTAAAGCAAAATTTCACTACAAATTTTTTGTGACGTCGAATTTGCTACACTTTTGCCTTAAGTATGAACCGACCTTAACCTGGAAACCACAGAGGCAGCACTTAGGAATGAGGTATGAGCAACGATGTAGGTTATCAAATGCTTTCACCATGAGGTTGGGGAAATAAAGACATGTGCACGTATACTTCAGCCGAAAGGAACAAAGACGAAAAGCCAAAATGTTGAAATCACAGAGACTCGGTTTAACCACTTTTCAACATACCTCTTCTTCTGCCTGGTGTCAAGCCAATGTCAAATTTGATGGCCGTTGGTCGGGCCACTTGTACCTCTTGAGTCACCTCGGCAAAGCGCATGACATGCTGAAAGAAAAGATTTCATCATATCAACCAAATATTCTGGGAAACCACCTACATAAACAATTTGTCATGGGATAAAGGATTATTTGAAGCAAACAATTTGACATGTTTGATTACAGAGCTTGGATGTGCTCTTCAAACCACAAATTTTAAACTGCAGCTTTCAATATTACATTTATGAAATACACTACTTGGTTCATAAGCCATAAAATCTGTGCTTCATTTTGCTTCTTAGAATTAGGATCAATTTTCATGGATGGCCAACATCTTCATTGCCAACAGCACTAGCACCTGTCACCAAGTAAGATGAAGATCAAAAGTGACGGTTTACTCATAATTCTTGACTAACGACTATTTATTATTCTGATCAAGATGTTAAAATGCTGCATTTGGCGTGTGTGATTTTTCCAGGAATATTAAAGGCGCACACTGGATGCTATCACAGGGGTACTATGGATAAGTCAAGTCTTGTTTCAAAGTGTAAGAATCTTACCGTGGTTTCATCATAGTCAGCAGCCTGTGGATTGACACAAACCACCATGCGCACCTTACCCTCACCATCAAAGTAATTCTTGAATAGATGGGTCACTTTTGAGTCCCGATATGGAACAATCTGAAACAAATATGCCAAACTTTTGTTGGTTTCCACATTAACATGGATACCGGGATTAAAGTTTTCTTTGTTTGGATATCTCTGATCCGTGCCTTAACTGAATATAAAATAGGGAACCTACATTGTAATCTGAGAGTAATGGGTCAGGCAAACTGACCCAGAACTGTTTGCAAGTTAGACATGCTTCTTAGACACACTTATGGAATTGTGGACACTGAATTTTGTCTCAGATTTTGTGCGGCCCACGTCCAGTTTGTACATCATGCAACTGGACAATATTTCACGAGCTTTGCTGCAATTCTACTGCAACAGTCTCGGAAAGCAGACAAATACGGTATCAGAAATGTTCTCTGAGTTTGCTAAAGCAAGTAAGAAAAGGGGTGTTTTGTGCAGTGTGTTGAGTCTTGGAGCTAGGTCGGTAATTTTAGTTTTTGACTTATTACTGAGTTTGGCGACTTGATGAAAATGGAAATTATTGAGGGATTCCTTTGGATTTCCACTTTGAAGATTCTTTCCAAAGTAACTTGTGGATCATTCTGTTAGCTTGGGCTACTTGTTTTTCCAAAACAAACCTTGTTAGTGTTGCTCATCTGATTTTCTCTCAATACTTCAATGCATGTCCTGAGAGTCATCAGTGAGGCATTGATGTTGCCTGCTTCCCTTAGTCTGTCGCCAGAGTTCTGGGTTCGTCCCGTTCGCTCACTGCCGGCAAGATCCACTAAGGAGAGCTGAGCCACACACACCTGTTCCTTGTCCTAACGAGTCCAGGAGAAACAATGAAATCTGGCCCATCTATTCAACTTTCAAGAACACAGGTGTGCTTCAAGAATATGAAAAAACCATTTTTCATCTACATGTACAGTCAACAGAGAGTTGTATTTTTGCGAGAGGTGTACACACACAGCACCTCGTGTGTACATCTGAAGTCTCTCTTAGACGGAGAATTTTATCTCAGAATGCAGTGCAATTTAACACAAAGCTGCAGTAAAAATCTGGAATACATTTATCACACTTCACTTGAATTGAGGGCGCCTTTAACCACTTGCTGCCGGGGAACCCCGTTTTGAGCACCATGGGTTTATACACAGAGCTGGGGTGCCCAAAATGGGACAAAAGAGCTGGTCCATGTAAAAAAAGACTATACTTGGAACAAAAGACCTGCTGCTGGGAATTGCCATTTTTTTTGCGTTGCATTTTTCAAAGGTAATCTGTCACTGTTTTTAAACAGTATACCACTGTTTTGGACAAAAGTGCTCCAGGGCCCTATTGATGAGCAACACAGCACCGCTGCTCGCTAATCCAGCTACGTTTGAAAAGATGCCACTCGCATTCACTGGGGACAAAGGAAATTATGCAACACCTCACAATTCTGGGCTCTCTTTACAGGGCGGCAGGCCTGGCTGAAATACTCAGGAGTCAATGAAAGTTGCCTGTCAGCTTAGAGTAGCCACCAAACAGTCATTCGTGTGGGTGTAAATGTCCATTAAATGAAATGATGAATTTTTGAAGAATTCTGAAAACTGAAAATCTTGAAAATCTCCCTTATGTGTGCACTGCATTTTTAAAGGCACCCGGCAGCAAGTGGTTAAACTGGTTGACTTTTGTTGATTTGTGAGGATGCAATGTCTGGACAATCTGTCTTTTTACCTGCAGGACTTCTTCCCCTACTGGGTCTAGGGGAGCTTGGACAAGCCTGATGTTGAAGACACTGTGACTACGGCTAGACTCTGTGTTCAGCTGTGTGTGGGCAACCTTCCTTCGTCTCTGACCTAAGAGGGAAGCCAACAGAGGTGTTTGTGTACAACAAAGGGGCTGGGTACCAACTGCCCAGTTCTCACCTTTGTAATGAGTATAAGTTGGGTCTTTCAATAGCACATACTAAATGTGAAGCACACTGGAAATCATTTGAGAAAAGCAATACATACATGAGGCTCACCCAGTAAAGAGTTGGCCAAAAGCAGTTATTGCTTGGTAAATACACAGAGTTTCTGAAGACCTTGGTCCATGTACAATTCAAAGTTGCTCAAAATTTTATGCACAGTGTGTCCACAAACACATTTGTCATAGTTCAGGACTGAAAACACTCACTTAACTTTGTTTTAATCTTATTTACATTTGATGTTGTATACATAAAACACAAAGTCACACACTAATGGGCAACTCTGGCGAAAGAAAGATCAAGCAATGGATCATAATTATGCTGTGTTGAATTTCGATATCCGGGATCAAAAAGTTCTTATCAAGTTTACTGCCGGTTGTCCACCTTTTATTTTCATAGTCTTGTACAAGCATAGATTCTCGATACCTTTCATGAAGACTCCATAGGCTTCTTCCGTGTTCTTCGCTTCAATTTCAGTGCAGTTGGCCACGTACATGTTATGGTTACTGTCCTCGCGTAGGGTCTTGGACTGCAGGGATCTTCGGTGACAAGAAAGCAAGATGTACATGTACAAGGAAAATGACTAGAATGCTGGCAATAAAAACAACTGAAGCATTTACAAGAAATGGGAAACAAGGATTGGATTTCTCAGCAAGTGGAAAGCTAGAATGGGGGGCGGTGAATAGAGGAAGTTATTTGGGGGGGACGTTTAGCTTCTTTGTCCTTTAACAAACTAAGAATGAGGGTTTTGGGCAAACTCATAAAAACATCCACAAATGCAACATTCCAAACATTCCATCCAGATTTCCAGCAAAAGGATCAAATTTGCTTGTAATTGCCATTATACTGAGGCCAAACTAGAGAAAACTGAAAAACAACGTCACTCAAATGACCTGCTGAGTTGCAACTCCAGAGCAATCAACACTTTTAATCATTATGTTAGTGATAGGCAAAGCCATTCAGTAAAAGAAAAACAGAGAGAAAACATGTCTTGTTGCCACACAGTTGAAATAAACATGCAGGAAAACAAGTAAAATACAGAGACATGTTTCACACACAGTAAACAAGAGATGAAAAATCACAAAACAGACATGTTGATCAGACAAGCTGGCTTTGTTAGTAACGGATGTCACATGACTGAATTGTGAATGTTGGTGACAAAGTGACATACATGGCATTGTCATCTCTTGACTTTGGCGTCTGCCATTGCCTGTGGGCATAAAATGAAATGAAAGAAAAAAATGGCAGGAAATAACTAAATGAGACGTTAGTTTTGATCAGTCCCACACGAACCAAAACAGTGACCAGGTAAGTACCAATGACTTCAGCTAGAATCCTCAACAGTGAATTGCAAACTGATGTAACTACAATATTTTTTACCACAAACAATTTCAGTTATTTTTGTTTGACCAGTAAATATAAATTTGTAACAAAAAGATTAAGTTTTGGTTGGCAACAAACTGGACAAGTACACAGAGGTTGTACTTGAAGAAACTGCATACTTTCAGTAGATGTCATGGTTACATCATTTAACTCTGTAAGCATCTTTCATAATTTTTTTTGTTCTCCAGAGTTGTAAGTTACAATTTGTGCCAATTTTCATGATGCTAGTTAATTAGTGAGCATACATGTAATTAGAAATGCATTGTTCATCAACATTTATGAACTCATTTCATCATCAGAAGGGGATTCCAGGGAAGAACATTTGTTAAACTGGAATAACAGAATGGGCCAGTTTCAAGTGTATGATTAGTTGAACAAAGACTAGATCAGAGGTGTAATTCTTTAATCTCAAGTTCCAATACCCACTTCTGGCTAATTCCGTCAGACTGCGTGTCCTCCAGTAAGTCATAGATGTAATTGTTGTAGATCTCAATGTAGGAGACATACACACTGTAGTTATTGTCTTCGTCCACAGTACTGATGCGATTGGTGTCTGGTACCCTGACCATCGTGGCAATGTCATTCTGAGGTGGTTTCCTGTTGGAAGGGAATGAGGAAGGTTCAAAAGTTTCTGATATTGTTACTTTAGTCAAACTTGTTATCAGGAAGGCAACTAGGAAGGCGGGAAATGGAAAATACAATTATAAACCACACAGGACATTGTACAAATGCTTTGTACTGGAACAGGAAGTAAAAAGGAAAACAAACAAACAAGGAAACCTGCCTATCAAAGGAAAGGTTAACATGCCCCCAAATTTTCCCACTGAGATGATATGGTAGATCTAGCCAATTTTTTTACATAAAGCCCAAGTGAAAACACTGCTCCTCCATGGGTTGCCAGGTCATCACAGGTTAGACCCAAGCCACGACTGGTACCCATTTACAGATGATGGATATTTGTACTTGGTTTAGGCTGACTCTTATCAGTGAAAATTCTTAAATTTGAAAGTAAAGTGCATTTCAAAAGAAAACTCAGATCAGATAATTCAAGAATACTCAGATCAGAAAGAGCTTGGGCATCACTGATTAAGCAATATTAAAGGCCTTATTAATGCAAGAAAAATTTGGTATAGGATAGGGATTATGCGTTAGCATGTCCCCGGGGGGCAAACGTTTTGAAATGTGGGATAGGCTCAAGTACTGTCAGCCTTTTGTGCATTTGTTGTGAGAAAACTTAACCAACAAAAACAGCCTCTGTGACACCATGGAGATGCCGGCAACGCACAACCTCTATCAAATGAAAATTGAAGACATGCACTCATTGCCCATATCAGCACGACTTACATGGACACACGTACGTGTACATGTTGTGCATGAATCAGTTACAGTTTAGAGGGACCCAAATTTCACGGCACTCCAAATTTTGAATACACATGTACATGATACAGCACAAAGGCCAGACTGAATTAATTTTACTCCTTACAGAACACTGCGGGGCAAAAAAGGATACGATATGGGCAAATTTTGATGTACAAACCTAGCCTGGCTCAGCCCGTACCTTCTTGGTGTCTTGGGTGTGCTTTTAGGTGTCGGGGGCGGGGCTAAGAGTTCCTTCTTTTGTCTTTCCATCATAGCATCAGCCTCTGTCTGAACATCAAAGCCGTTAGCCCTGTCCGGCTTGAACACCTTTTGGAGAGTAAAGAAATGAGCAACTTATGTTACCAATTACAGAGGTACATATACATACACGGTCATGAATGCTGCACATGTGCTCTTCTTACATCTTTACACGGCTACACTCTAACATTCTCAAATCCTCCTATTTCAATTTCAGGTTTTTTTTCACTCATCCAAATCACCCAGGAGATTAATTAAAGTTAATCACTAAATAACCTCAAGCAGCAGGTTACAAATAGCAAACATTGACAACTCACCACGCGAATGGGATTTACAGTATAGTTGGGTTTAAATAATAAAAATGTCTTAATTACAACCGCAAACTTGAAAATGGAGTTCAAACTTTCTTTGGGATGTCAGAGAATTCTACCGTGCAGAAACCCACCAAAAAGTCACCAAGTGTTGCATGTACATGTACATTGTAACAGCTAGTTATATGGAAAGCTGCTCTGGATACCTTATTCTCCCACACTTCTGTCACACTTTGGCTTGTCGAGTTATTGTAAATATAGCTCCTGCTTCCAAGTTACTGCTAAAAACAGTATCAGCAGGCTGTTACATACATACAGGTAGAGTTGTAGTCAAGACCGTCACAAGACTAGTCACAGGACCAGACGCAAGACAAGTCAAAAGTAACGGGAAACACAAAGGAGTGCGTTTCATTTGGACAGGTTGTGACGGAATTCAAACGGCAGGTCTTGTGCTGGTCTTACGGGGTCTCGACCGCAACATCGTTTACATTCTTATGAATCTTATATGCAAATGTTAAATGGTTTGGAGGGCAAAGCAGGGTAAGGGTTACGTAGCATTTATGTTCCTCGGGAATTGTTTAAAGTATAGTGAGTTTTGCAGACCTACTTTTGGAGCATACTCACATATTTCCTGGCCTGGAGGTCACCCAGACTATTGAAGAGAACATCAAGACATCTTGGTAGGATGCCACCATCTCCTGGTGTGCCTTGCATGGTGTAGGTCTTACCTGAGCTAGTGATGCCATACATGAACAACAAGGCTGGAAGGAGAAACGAAAAGAGGTAAGGATAGCAGTTAAGGTGATGTGATGATATATATAACTTTGGCCCTTAGGTTTGTTTTCCAATTATTGCAAGAGGATGTGTGAATATGATAGATCCCGCAATCATTGGGTAAGTTTGGATAATTATACATGTAGTTAATTGTAACTTGATCAATGATGGTTTGGACTACCTAGCTGATCATTACTGCAATCTGGTCCAAGGGCATACTTTCAATGCTGGTTATCAGTAGCCGATTCCATTTATCGGCACAGTGGGAACCGTTGACTTGAAAGTAATTGATATATCATTGATTACAAACTCTCTGTGAGAGTTGTAGCCAATGGCAGAAAATGTGAATAATAAAGAGTTTACAAAATGGTTCAACTCGGATTGGTCAAATGCATGTGACCATTGGGAAGAAGCAATTGTCCAGTGGTCAAGGCATAATTGTCACTATTCTATTTGTAGTACTGACTAACAAAATAACATATTGAGCATTCCCTGAGCACCTCTGAGTGATGCATGTGCTCATGTACATTTACATGTTCAGCTTCACAGTCTCCATGGGGAATGAGGAGCTTACATTCTGTAGTACATATACATG